GACTGTGTCTCTCACCAAATTCTTGTTATGAAACTTGATAGATATGGCCTGCAGAGTGGTGCACTCGACGTACTCAGATCTTACCTTAGCAACAGACAGCAGATAGTATGTTGGAATGGTAGAAATTCCACCCCTTTGGCAGTAAATCATGGTGTCCCTCAGGGCTCCATATTGGGCCCTTTCTTGTTTTTGGTGGCCATTAATGATCTCTACTATGAAGTGTCAGGTAATGTTATTATTTATGCAGATGACAATACATTGTTTGCCAAAGATCCTGACTTGAAGCTCTCAAAAACCAAAGTTGAGGGTTTTCTTTCTACTGCTACTGCCTGGTTCAATATCAACAAATTGATCCTCAATGAATCCAAGACTCAGGCAATCACCTTTAGCTTGGGAAAGTCTGCTGAGTGCACTGACCATGTAAAGCTGCTGGGCTTTACTCTGGACCCTCACCTTGACTGGGGAGATCATATTGAGTCGCTGTGCTGTAGGCTTAACAGGTTTATATTTTTATTGAGAAGACTGAGTTTTTACCTGCCAAAAGATTTCATTCGTGTTGCTTACTTTGCTTTTTTTCACTCTATTATTGTCTACGGAACGAGACTCTGGGGTCACTCGCCCAAAGTCAACAAAATTCTGGTTCTGCAAAAGAAAGCGATGAGGGTACTTAGTGGACCCCAGGATCTCGCGCACTCCAAACCACTGTTTCTCCAAAACAAAGTCATGACTGTATATAATGTATATATTTTTCAATGAAGTCCAATGAAATATACCTACCTAGAAATCAGCATGTACATAGCCATAACACTAGAAATAGGTTTGATATTTTCACTGTAAGGCACAGACTGAGTAAATCAATTATTTGTTTTCCTGTTACAGGTTGCAAGTTGGCCTATTTTAATCATCTGCCTCTTGGAGTGAGGCGTTTGCCTTTACCTAAATTCAAAGCCTTTCTAAGTAATTGGCTCTTAGAAACACCTTTATTCATGACTCTAGTGAGTTCCTTAAGACAGAGGTCCACCTGTAATTAGGTAATGCATGGTGTGTGCTTTTTTTAACTGCTTTTTTATTTTTTTTCTCCAAATGTGCATGGTTTTAATCTGATTTATTGACATTTTTATTTTGCCTGCTATTTGACTTGAACTAAGCATGGTTTGATTTTATTGTTAACCAATCTCTGATGATGGTTTTATTCTTATTTTATTCTTATTTTATTGAATTATGTATTGACATAGCCTATTATGTATATTGTTCAATGGCCAAATAAACAATTTGAAATTTGAATTAATTTTTGAAGCAACAAAATATAAAAAAAGAGCACATTTTTGGATCCAGCCACAGCCACCTCTAATACAAGGCCGCGACGTTCGAACTGGCAACACCGCAATCACACCCCCTCTGTGTCCGTCTTCAAACGCGCTAGGCTATGAACATCAATGAGAGTATTGCTGCTCTGTATCAATGAATGAAAGTATTTAAATACGTAATAACATATTTTAGTAGATTTTTAAATATGGTAAAATAGACAAAATTTGAATCTATGTTGTTTATTTAGTGAAAAATTGCAACATACCGCAATATGTCTAAAACTAAAAATATACAAACATAATGTTTTTGGTTGCATTTATCGTATTGTAAGTATGATGAATGTGGAAATAGATGGACTTTTACATATTTCCTTTGTTAATTTGATAATCTACACTATTATATAAAAATCTCATGGTGTCTGTATAATATGTGTGTTATCTAACATAGTAAAAACTAAATTTTACAAAATAAAACTACTATACCAAGAATGGTTATACAGTAGGACTAACTTATTGCCACTTCAATATTTGTAGAGACTTTGGGATTTGTAGAGACTAACATCTAACAATTTTTTCAAACAAAATTAATTTTAAATTTTTAATAGGAATATTATGTTTTAGTCTACCTGAGGAAACCATAAGTTAGCGACAACAAAATTTGAAGTTTTCATTTTGAAGGCATACTGACAAAATAATTTATTTCCATTGAATAATTACTAAGAAAAACGTTTGCCATTTTGTAAACGATTTCAGAAGCTAGGCCTCTATATGGCTTTCCACAATATTAATAGAATTTTTTTATCACATCAACATTCAGACTGGATTCGGAGACAATGATGCTTTTATTGTTAGATGGTGTAGTACATATTTTTTTACTAGTAGGCCTACTTAACAGAAACACCGGCTTATTTCTTTGAAGTGGTATTTATTTAAGTTATTTTAATCACTTAACAACAGCATTTATCAATAAGATAGACAAATAAATAAGGAAATAGTACGGTATTACTACCTAAAACTTGCTTCTCGCGTCTATATTTACACGAATCGTTGTCTTATTCTTACATTTTTTTACAAATTTAATCTAAGCTCATATTCATGATAAAATGTTTAACACCAAAACGAGAATATTTTTAAGATGTTTAATTTGATCGAAGAATAGCAGAAAGCTTTGTTGCTTACGCGGCGGATCAAGTAGTCTTAGAACACTGTATGTATTATTCATTTTTAATTGAGCTATCGTAATTATTCTTACATCCAGGCACATCACATCTATCTGGCATGTTGTAAGTTAGTAAGAAGTTTAATGTCATTACTAATGATTAAAGGTAGTAGAAACGCGATTATGTACGTAGAGTACGCGACTCCTCCATTCACTGTACAGTAGACTCCCTCTAGTTCGGCTTCGGTTGGATCGCCCGCCGGACGGTCCGGCCCGGTCTCAGGGGGACAAGTCATATGTCACGGGCGAATGACCTTCGACAGGATTGAACTTGAATGTTTAGTTTCCGGCCATAGAAGTAAACAATTCATGTCAGTTTAGTTTACGGGTGCTTCTATGGGTGAATTGTTGCATATTACAGATACCTAATACATATTTAAAACTATGTTACATAACCTCAAAAATACCAAGAACATTTTTTATAAATAATTTTTTTTCGGTCTAATATGTTGAAATGCAGTGTATAATTAAATATTTCGGACCACTTTTTTATGCAGTAGGTTCCCCCATTATTGTTTTTGAAACACTACGGTTTATTTGACAAAAATAAATTAAAGCAAAACAAAGAAATAGCCATCGTTAGCTTCAAGGTCAAGCTATCCCCTTGCACTGACAGTCATCTGCTCACACAAACTGATTTCTGCTGTGCACTTGCTTGCTATCTCACAACAGTTTGTGATTGGGTGATTAGTAACTATGGCAACTTGTTGAATGTGTGGATGAAGAGAAACCAAAGAGGCAAAGACAGAATAGAAGAACAAAGAAGAAAGAATAAGCGGTGATTTACGTCATCCATTGTTATCTTTATCATATTTTACGACTGTCCTTATTATCTTTAAGAATAAGTACTATAATTTTATGCTGTTTTATGAACTGTCTAATGTTTTTATCAACATTCTTATTTTCTGAAACAACATTTAGTAGTAGCCTATGCTAACTACGGTAGCTTGCAGTACTAGACTTTCTATTGTTCTGTTCTTTACGTGATTTATTGCTGTACGTACAGTGTTGTGTAATTTTTGTTTTGATTGAGTAAGCGTGATTTTAAACGTTTCAGTTTTTTTTACTGAACCAAGGTTATTGACTTAACATATCACGATTGCGCAATACTATAATTTGTATTTTGGTTATGTAAAATGCACTAAATCCGGTTAGTCCGGCCGTTTTGTAGTTCGGCCAGTGGTCCGGTCCCGAGGTGGCCGAACTAGAGGGAGTCTACTGTAATGGTAAAACGACCGAACGCCAAGACACTGATGCGACGTTGCCGCTTTTCACTCGCCGCGGCCTTGTATTAGAGGTGGCTATGATCCAGCACTAAGTTTTGCTCTAAATTGTCTACAAATTACAAATTACTCTTCCTTTCTTGATTATAATGGATAATTGTTGCTGTTTACCATACCAAATAAGATCTGTTTAGCAAAATATTAAAATTTGTGTACAGGTAACCATAGAATCAAAAATAAATGTTTAGTTAAAACCAACAGCTGCACGCACCCAAATACTGAAAACATCTGACCGCGGCGCGACAGGTATTTGGACATTGCATCAGTTTGACCAAAAAGAAAAAGAAAAATATCACTGAAGGAAACTTTCAACTATAGTAGGGGCCTACCTAAGTTCGAAAGAGGATTTCTTCCCCTCTATTTTCATATGTTTCTTTTTATCCTCGTCAAAATACATGCAGAGTAATAGTTTTTCAAAAGACTAAAAAAGTCGTTTGGCCATATAGAAAACTCTTACGCAATTTGTTTAATAGAGTTTTTGTAAAAAGAATCACAGCTTGTAAACTAGCAATGCTAGACAAAATCTATCAACGGACAGAATGTAGAGAAAAAATCCCTGGATTCAGTGAGGTACCAATCAACATAATCTAACGACGTAGAATAGCTTTGCCACGTATTTTAGAAAATGGCTGATTTTACCTTTGCTGCCCGATCGATAAAGCCCACGAGGCGCAAAACTCAAATAACTTATGTGTTAATGTTTATTTACTTTCCCTAACTTACGTTATTAGTTGACGTTAAATGTGTAATATATAATGTATGGAAATTGTAGCTCATTTGATTGTCTTTCCAATGGTATAATCCGTGTTGTGATTACTGCATATTATCAGTTCCAAATATTTGCTAGAAAAAAAGTCTGTAGCAAACGACTAAAAAAAGTTGTTTGCCCACCATCTTACCGTAACCCAACGACTAAAAAAGTCGTTTGGCCGTTCTAGGGTTAAAATAGTCTAAATTTAGGTAGATAAGGCAAAAAAATTCAATAACTTATGACATAATTAGGCTAAGTAGTACGCCTAAGTTAGGCATAAATTCAGTTTTTACCAAAACATCAATTAACTTATCTCGGGTGAAAGAGAAAAGAAACCACGATAGACGGATACAAAACTCAAACGGATGAGTATGCTAACGCTAATTGTAAATTAAGACAAATAACTTAAGGATAATAACACTTAACGCTAGCCTACTTACAATGCACTGAAAAAGCAGACAGGACACAAGTTGTTGATGTAAGTTACAGCTAGCCTAGGCCTACGCAATAATTTTAAAATGCCACGAGAATTATAACTTCACTGAAACAAAGCTTTAAATTCCCTTGGATCACTAATTGGTTTAATTGACGTTTGGTCACTAACTAACCACAATCACATTAAATTAATAATAACTTAACAGGGAAACCGAAAGAAAGTTCGGCAGTTCTGAAGCCCTGATTCAGCCATTTTCTTTCTTGCTTGATCTTCTTGCTACTTGCTAGCAGTGTTGCCAATCCACTATGGCCCGATTACCCCCTCCAAAGCAAAGAATTACCCGCTTTTTCTAAAAATTACCCTCAACAAACCAAAAATTCCCTTTTAACACTCTTGCCTGTCTCTAAAAGTAACGAATAAAACCCCTGATAAATTAGTTTTGAGTAATCCCACAAATTAAGATGTAGTAAAGAACTAAATATAGGACTTGAGACTTGTAATTAACCTTCATAATGAAATTTTCAATCTTACTGACCTTACAAAAATATAATTTCATTAGTCCTACAATGATTTGGTTTTTTTTATGATAGCCTATGTCATATACTTGTTTAATAATGAGTAAGTACTGTTAAAAATTATATTTTTTATTAGTTTTAGGGAGAAAATAGTTATTATAACCGAAAAAGATTATTATTCCCCTGTTTTATGTTATTCATCTTCTTTAGAAGTAGACTAGTACGGTATTTTCCTTCCACCATGGTATCAGCGTTGACTGTAGTATAGTGAGAAGTGAAGTGAGAGTGAGATCAGGATCACGGATCAGGCATTTAAGGCCAGGCAACCAAAAGTTTTTCCACTCCAATCCAAAAGAAAAGACTACAAACAACCGTACTGACTGAAACTGAACCGAACCGAACCGACTGAACGCTGTAGCCTACTCGCATTGACTTTATATCTACTGTAGTGACTGAGTGAGAACTGAACCAAACTGATGAAGATTAAGAGAAGTAGTGTAAAACAATAAAAAGTCTGTGAAATAACTTTAATGGAAAAAAACACAGGGAAATATTTTTCTTCTAGTGAAATATAAGTAATAATACGAAAAACAAATAATATTTGATCAGTTGTCATTTACCCGCTTTTTACCCGCCTATTTGCCATTACCCGCAGCATTACCCCCAGGTAACTAAATTACCCGCTTTTCGGGTAATTACCCGCTTTTTGGCAACACTGCTTGCTAGAGTGCTAGAGTTTCTTTTTCTTGTTCGTTGTTCCGTTGTTCGAGTTCGTATTAGTTGTTCTTCTCTCCTCTCGTTCTTCAGTCTTTAGTTGCAGTTCAGTTGAGGCATAGATTAAACATACTATAGAGATAGTGAGCACACCGTTCCAGAATCAGACGTTCGGCGCGTCCGCGTGTTTTCTCAAGTCAGAAATGTTGTTTGTGACCACAGTGGAGAGAATAAATACGTCGTCGGTACTGACTCGGATACTGGTACGACTAAAATCAGCTGTTTCATCAGTCAGGATCATTAAAAGCCCAATGATCAGGGACAGCTGGGACCAGTTTCGAGCAATGCAATAATTGAGGCGTCAAAAAGCTACTGACTTTTCTCAGGACAGGATCGAACGGGTGACCTTTTGATTGCTAAGCAAGCCACCAGAAAGTTTAAAACCACCACAGGAAATTTCTTCCGTAAAAATCCCTACTTATCAATAAAGGAATTCCTGGAAGGTAGTTTGGATGAGCTGAATTAGTAACATAGCGACCGCCATGAGTACTAAAGTATGTTTTTTTTACATATTTTAAAAATTGTGAGTCTTATACATATGTGCGGGAATTAAAATAAGTAGTTTTTACGCTGACACAGCCTATTCCCATCATACGATGGGTCAACGGCCAAGAAGATGGTAATAAGGTAACACTTAGCTACCCAGCCATCAGCAGTCTGTAAAAGAACTCGTGTAACCTCTTACCTCCATTATCCTGAATAACAATGTTTACTATGGTAACCCCTATAGGTGACGAACAACAACAATTAAATACATTACAATACAACCGAACTTTATTCAATTAAATATTAGGCATGCAAGCATTGTCTGATTCGGAATCTATAGAATCAGAATGTGATTATGTAGAATTCACTCTATAAGCAGGCACCCGTGCTCGTGAGTTCTGCTTTCGGTAGCCCTCCGATCCATCTATACTTACATCTTACATCTTTATGTCCTCTTCATCGCAGTCGTAGAGACTGGAGAATTGCCATTTATTAGTTCTTTTTTAATTTCTTCTTATAATAACCCTATGTGGTAGTTTTGATCTTCATAGAATTCTTTGATAGTGTAGTATACGGTATTTGAAGGGGATAGGTTTTTTTTTAAAGTAACAGTGAATTTTTTTGTGTTGTTTATTGTTTTAAGATGTTGTGTTGTGGCAGTAGGTTATAGTAGAGTTTTGCTCTAATATTGCAGTTGGGGTTTCTGGTTTTTGTTTAGTCTGTTTTGTTGAGTGTTATAGTTTGATTTTGATCTGGTGTTGTAGTGGTTGTGGCATGTTTGTCTGGTTTCAAGCGGATTTTGTTTTATGGAATTGATTGTGTCAAATATGTATTGAGAGGTTAGGGTTAGGATTTGGTGTTTTATGAAAAGAAAATGCTGTGTACAAGGTAGTTGGATTGGATTGGTCTATTATTCTGGCTGCTTTCTTTTGAATAATTATTTGTATATCTTTTAGTAGACTTTCGCTGGCACTTCCCCATGCATTTAGGCTGGATTTCAGGTGTGAAGCGAAGCCATCATGGTAAGCCATCTTAGTAGTTTCTTCGATAGTGATTTCCCTGAGTCTTCTATGGTACTAAATAACTGATGCGAGTTTTCGATAGAGTCTTTCCAAGTGGGGGTGCCAGTGTAACAACCACGCACGGTTAGGGCGCAAAACTCAATGAACGAAAGCCGAGTGTTGAGAATTTAAAACTTCATTTATTATGTCAAAAGAGCAAAATTATTTGTAAATGAGTTACTATCAATTGAAAATATAGACTATATAAAAGTGATCTGGAAGCGGAAATACCCATACCATCACGGACACCCAAGGGGGAGGGAAAGATAGCGTGAACCGCGGCTCACGCACGGACTCTTCAAACCCGACTCGTCCGACTGACCATCTGTCCCTCAGGTTCGGCGGTCCTACACGTCATATGGAATGATTACAACTCGTGTCAGCAGAACAATTAGGCCACACACATTCTATATGCCACGACCAAAACAACCAAACGCCATGTAGCAATCGTTCTACCAAATACTTTGTGACACTCAACAAAAACCCAAATAAACTGCAAGATATGCTGGTAAGTTGAGTTGCGACACGCTTCCACTGACCGATTGCCAATATTACCGGCAATAGCCAAAACTGGGTTTTGGGCTGGTATCCGATATTCCAAAAAGTATGGTTAACAACTGCCTGACCATCACACCAGTTTAGTTGATGTTCAAGCGATGAGTGATATATGCCGAGGAATTTTGTTGTGGGGTTGGCATTAAATGCCAAATTTTGTTGTGTTTGTTGGGGCGAATTTCATGCAGACAGTTTAAGATTAGTTGATTCGGAGATTAAGGCTATTGCAGATTGCAGATTTTTGTCTGTGTATATTGTTTTTTCTGTTAGATTGTGTGTTGCTATGCCCGGGACTGCCGGGTCGTGTCGTCAGCAAACTATACGTTGTCTGCTGGTAGGAGGGTGAGAATAAGGTGTCTATGTAGATCAGGGAGAGTACGTAGGGGTCCCAGTACCGAGCCTTTGGGGGATTGCTTGAGTGATGGTTTGCAATTTTGATCTAGATATGGTATGTTTCCACTTTGGTGTTCAATTTCAATGAGTTGTTGTCTTTGTCTATTGTAGAGGTAACTTTTTATTCAGTCTAGAGCTTTGTTGTTGATGTTTAGGGGTGATTTTTTTTTATTATGGTCTAGGCTATCAAACGATTTTTGGAGATCTAGAAATATCTGGCGTTTGCTTTTTTTCTATCCTCCCAGATATTGGTTATGGTGTTGCATAGTTGAGACATAGTTGGTGACATTCTTGCATAGTTGGTGTTGCATAGCGGTATTTATTTATGGATTTCTTTTCTCTGAAGCCGTTTTGTTTGTCGATAGGACGTGGTCGTTTTCCAGGAAAGTTATTATTTGGGAATTTATTATTTTTACAGATATTTTTGGATAGGGCCGGTAGTATTGAAATTGGTCTATAGTTTTCGGTTAGGGTGGTCTCCTTTCTTGAATTTGGGGTAGACCAGAGCCTGTTTCATGGCTTGTGGAACTTTATGGCTTTTATTATTGAGGTGTTAATGACATTTGTCAAGCGAGGAATCAGTTCGTTCTTGCAGTGCTTTAGGATTTTTTTGGAATTTCGTCCAGTCCGCAAGATGAGGATTTAGGGGAATGATTTTGAAAAGTTTGCCAAGTTCATGTCGGGTGATTTTTTTGAAGGCAGATAGATGTGGTTTTGTGTCATATCAGGTGGCGAGGGATTGGATGCTTTATTTGTTGAGGTTTGGGTTTCGTAGTGCGTGGTTGCCGATGTTGATAAAATAGCTGTTGAAGGTGTTGCAGATCGATGTTGGGTTGGTTATTTGGCGTACATTTGGGTTACGGATGATATTGTTCACTTTATTGTCTGAAAGTTTTCTTTCTTTGTTGATGATGTTCCATACTGTTTTGTGTTAGGGGAATTGTTTATTATGCTCATTGTGTGTTCTGACTTCTTTTTTACATCTAAGTCATCTTTTGAAGTTACTGTGTAGATTTGTTTGTCCTCTTCACTACCACTGAGCAGATCCCTTTAAATGCGAGTGCTATTCTGGCGCAAAACCTGACTCGAGGTGCAATCAGGACGTAGTACCACAGTGTATAACCAGGTTAGTTCAGTATCCCCATAGATAAACCAACAATTAATAGGACTTCTAATTTTTGTCTAATAATCTGTAATACGTAGTTCCTACGTTTAATTATAGTTAACCATGGTTCCTACGTAGCTACTTTCTACTCATAACGCTAAGCCAAACCCCTCCAATTGCAGATGAAAAAATCCACGCTGAAATAAACAAATACTTAAAAGCAATAAAGAAAAGAATATAAAAACATGCAAACCTATTTCACAAAACATAGAACACAAAATACAGCTCAACAAACACATGATGTTTTCTCAATCCTTTGGGTGCTTCATCCGTGGCCAACCTTGTTTCGGGTTAGGACATTGCT